ATTTCCATATATTTTAAGAGTTGTTCAGATAAAGCATCTGAAAAAGTTTCAAAGTTTCAATAGTATTTCAGTTTGGAAGGAAAGGCATGAATTGTCTTTTCCAAACATTCCACATGTATATACAAACTTACATGTAATGTACGTCAGACGAGTGTTAGGTTATCCGTTTTCTATGTGTTGTCTTATTTTCAGTAAGCAATGATATTTTGATGGTCTTCCTTAGATGTCTTGAGTTCTATTTCCTGTTGATATTTCTGATAACTTCGGTAGGCTCAGCAAGATATAATTTAGTGCACAGCTGATTTCAGTATACAAAAGTTCTTTCTCTTTTGCTAGATTTGATCCAAACTCAGATTTGATGCTAGAATTCAATATATATTTCCCTTATAAAATGGAATACTGGAATGTAAATACTTTAAATAATTAATCCAGTTTGTTTCATTCATGGCAAAATTCTGGAGCTAAAATGACAGCATCAACCGTATAAAACATTTCCATACTCAAATAATTCTCCGACACATTTCTTATACCTCACTAAACCAATCAGGGGGGAAATACATCTCATTCTGGCAGGAATCATAGAAACACAACAGAAAAGAGACAACCCATATGTGTGAAAGTGTAAAAGAATAAAAATGGCTTCGAGTAAGAGAAGACTGAATACTGCGGAGATTGTTTACTAAATGTGCTTTAGAATTTTTGTATTACTAACTCATAGTAATGAAAGAAGGGGAAAAAGAAAAAAAAAGTAACAAATATATACATTCTATAAGAGTTGGACACAATACAATTTTCTTTCTAGTATTCAACATAAAATCCAAAATAAATGAAATACAGCTTTTTTTAAAAGTATGAAAGAAGCTTATAATATGCCAGACTAGATCTAGTTACATACATAAAAAACAACACTATAACACAACTTCAAATATTATGTAACAACCAATATCACTCAAATTTCCACACAGAAACTTATACCATAATTGGGCCCATTTATGGTACCAAAACCCCATGGTACTCTTGACCGTGATAGCTGCCACTGAAACCAGGCGCAAAAGCATCATTGGAAACATAAGCAAGCCGAGGTCAATTTTGTTGAGGTCACTGGTATCTAACAGCTACACATGACATGAGTTTCTTGGGTTAGGTCACAAGCAACAGCAGGCTTGTGAGATATGGCAAAAATAATATCACAGCAAGGCTAAGAAATTATGTGTATTTTTAATGGTATATGTCAACATGCTTGAATGTGTGAGGATAATATACCGAGAATATGAAAGTCACCTGCTCAATGGTCGAACAGAATGACCAAAAAAGTATTGGAAATGATCAGCAATAAATAATGAGGTGGCTAATGAAATAGCAATTTATGATGACAGCAATGAAGAGAATGATTGTAGTACTTCAAAACTACTGCAAAAAAGAATCAATGATTTATAAAAACAACCTTTTTAAATCAGAGATACTTCAAAATGACATGCATGAGAAAACTAAAACTATTCTTGTAAACTGCTATACTAACTTACATAATAAGTCATTATTTGAAAAAGAAAAGAAAAAAATAAATACATTAACGTAAGAAAAATAAATAAAGATAACCAAGGTGACTGAAAATAACCTCAACCAACACGCAAAGCAGCACATGATGCATAAGAACCAATACAAATGGTTTCAGAGTCTTGTAAGAGTTCATCTAATTAAGAAAACTAATGAAAACTAAAGGAATACAAAAATATTTGCATAACACATGGAAAGACCTTCTGAATGATTGTTTACATTAAACGTCATGCATACATACACATACCCATTCTGATGTCTGTTTTTTGTGATAAACAGCACTTTTCTTGCAAACATCTTCGAGATACCTAAAGTCACATACAAGGCTCAGTAACAAGAGATCATAGATACACTGTATTAGATACCTATTCTGATGTAACATGCACTGTCATTTATTATTTATATACTGTATATAGCCTCTCCTACTCCCAACCTATATAACATAATGGTGTTCCAAGAAACTTTATATTTAATCAAATATAAATTCTTGGAAAAATCTTGGTGTGAGTCTGTGAACCTCAAAAATAATTAAACTGTTTAGATGACATGTAGTTCTCCAAAATATGTAATAACTGACATTCTGCACTGCCAACTCAGCACTATTCAAGGTACTAGTATATGAAGAAAAGATGAGAGGAAAGAGGTCTGAGTGAGTGAGTGAGTGAGTGTATGTGAAAGTGAGAGAGATTGTCCATGCGTGTGTGTGAGAGTGAGAGAGAGAGTGTATGAGTGTGTGAATGAGTGAATAAGAGTGAAAGTGAGTGTGTGTGAATGAGTGAGTGACTATGAGTGTGAGTGTGTGAGAGTGAGTGAGTGAGTGTGCATGAGTGGTGTGTGAGAGAGTCTGAGTGTGAGGACATGTGTGTCTGAGAGTATAAATACAAAGGGAGAAAGTAAATAACTTCAACTGAATTAGCATTCCATATATCCTAAGAATTAATAATAATAATAATTTTACAAACGTAAACCTCTCATGGAATTCTTTAACAAAATTTTACATAGACCGAGAGCCAACAGTGCACTTTGAAATCCTTTTCTTCTCTCTCTTTACTTTCACCCATATTATTTTCAAGTTATGCTTACTCGTACCCAAAAGTACGTACAAAACACACCCGCACATTTATTCCGTTTCTAATTAACCAATGCCAGTGGAAAAGAAAAGAAGGGCAAAATAAATACAATAAATAAATTATCCACAAACCCATACATTTCAAATTGGATGACGAAGAACTCTTATCAGTTTAAATGATGTACTATCACATTTAGAAAAATGTAAGTGAAAAAAAGAACCATAAGGATAATAATGAGAAGGTTGAAATTCCTGCCTGGTTTCCAAGTGTAATAATCGCAAAGACGTATGCTTTGCCCCTTTAATAATCAATTTCCGGTCTAGGTATTTGTTCCTGTATGGTTCTCTACCGATTAATCTCGTTTCTGAAAGACAGCTGAATATTATAAATGGGGAAAAAATTGAACACTGATTAAAACGCGAACATTACTAAAATGACTATTCGGTCCTAATGCTACGCCTTATTCATACACCCAAAGATGATTGACCAATGACACACCTAAAAAAGAATTAAATTGTTTGACAGTGTTAATGTTTTGTTAATTTTGATATGAATATTAAAAATGGTACTTTCGGTATAAACACTATTAAAAATTACAAATTAGAAAAGTACACAAAGTCTTAATTGCATAGTAATATATATGTATATATTTTTAGTTTTCCAAAGAACCTGGCGTTTTGATCCATACTTCAACGTTAAGAGATTTGTAATGCAATCACTTTTGTGTCTTCTGATGAAATATAAACTTGTTGCTTATTACAATAGCCAAATGAAATTACAAAAAACTTTATACACTATGTATGATCATGATTGACCTTCAAAACATTTCCATTATGCATAGCCATCAACAGGGTTGTGCTGTGTTTTGAAAGATACTCATTGCTATTTACATGAAAAAAAAAATAATGAAAAATAATCAGTGTGCTTGCCATTATGCTATAGCCATTTGTGTAAGTTTGTCCACTGGATTGTACATGATTTGCATCTACCACTGACTTCGCGATATATCAATCAGGGATGGAGGGAGGCAGAGTTGACATACTATATACTTATCATAAATCCATTGAAAAGTACTAATATCGGTAAATGCTATTTTATATTGAGCTATTCACTTTTCCTCTTCGATTCTAATCAGAAGGGACAGGAGCTGAGTCGCGCCTCGTTCTTTTGTTACCCACTCTATGGTGTCGGGTTGCAGGTGTGAGTCGGGGGCTGTGTGGGTGTTGGGCAGGCTAGGAGTCCAGGGTATGGAAGGCGAACCAACCTTGTACGAACCAGGTTTGACTGCTATTTGCAGTACCACCCGAACATGTAATGTTTTTCTTGTGCACGGGTCAACAAACCTGTGAGAAAAGAACATAAAGAGAAAATTAAAACTCTGAAATAACTTTTTGAGTATAGTAAAAGATTATTCAATTCATGTGACAAAGAACTTGTTTTCCTACACAAAGACTCATATATTTTACATATTAACTAATCTTCCTTTCTGGTATTCACATCATAGCCCATGAATCAAAATATTAGTTTGTTTTTTTAACTGCATCAATTTACAATGTAGTGATATTAGCATACGTGGAAAACAAGATGGACGTTTTAACCTAATATTGACTGTTCTTTCCCTTGTCTACCAAGAGCCATGTGCCAAGGATCACACACATTAACTGAGACTAAAACAAAGCTACAGCCCTACTTTTGAGGGGCTGTAGCACACGAGTGGTTGTGCCCAGAGCCAAACAGCTGAGCAACTTTTAGGGTGCATGACTTAGAGAAAGCTAACCACCTTTAGTGGGTATCCTTGTCACCCAGTATTTTGGCTCGGCTTGTTACAGCAAGAACAGATGCCAATATATATATGTCAGCTTTGAGTTCACGGATTAAAAAGGTTCAGATTTCAATGTCCTTTTTCTATGTGTTATGTTACATGGAAAATTTGTTTACACAGGTTCAGATTTCAATGTCCTTTTTCTATGTGTTATGTTACATGGGCAAGTAGCAAAAATAACTCTAATAACCCTATACTACACACTTCAATGCTTAAACTAAAGAAAACAGTAAAGTACATCTGCCATTCTCTGATTTTCCAACTAATGAATAAATGAAAACCAAAAGGACTCTTGGAATATAACAAAAGACATGAATGAAAAAATAGCGACACCACTCTCACTCAACTAAAAGCAATATTAATGTCCGTCTACTATCAACCAATCTTCCAATACTAAGATAAAAACACAAATACTCCATTACTTACAAGACAGCAGGTGCAAACTGGTCTGTAGAAGCATATGAAATAGTGGGAGAGAAACATAACTGTGATCCATCACTATCATCATCTTTACTTCGACGACCAGCTAAGGTTGAGCTCACTCCTAATTCACCTGCAAATAGGAAAATGACAAGATTAAACACAATAATTTTCTTTTATCCCCAAATACCTGAAGAGACAAGCAATGCCTTCCCCATGTTCTCAAATCTATTAAATATACAACATTCTTGAGCACATTTCCTCTACATTCTTGTCGCAAAATACAACTTGCAATAAGGGTTATTGTAACAAATCTAGAAAATGCATAAATGAAAATGAAACTTCACAAAGCAAGAAACGTACCAGGCAATTTTCATTTTCATTGAAATTCTGATCAAGATTTGACTGAAATGCTTCAAGGAAATCCCTTGCTTTGTGTAATTATTCTTTCTCCGCTATATTTTTCCTACATATAACTACACCAAACCTTTCTTTTAAAAAGGGGTAAAGAAAAGAAGTAAAAAAAGCTTACATTCATTTTCAAATATGGCTTGCTAATCTTCTATATCATTATACACAAATGATGTAGTCGCTAACACAGCATCCTGGTATCTGCACTGAATATACTTCAAAATACTTTGAACCATTTAAGACCACAAAAACAACTTAATTTACTTGTTTCTACCTCACTACGAAATATAAAAATGAATCCAAAAAGCAATAGACAATTACCTGAGAACAGAAGCTCTCCTTTATCTAACATACGTCTTACTGCCCCAGGTCTGGTGCCGTGATAAGCCATGTGCCACGACTCGTTATTATCGCCAACCCCGCTCACAAGTGCAAAACGACACCAGCCAAAAGGTTGTGCGTAATGTTTTGGTGGATTTCCTGGTGTAAGAAAGGCAGTTGGTTATTCTTACCATATCAAAAATCTAAATCTTGCTGAACAAAAAAGTAGAGGTAATTTTCATCTTATCACATGTAGCATATAACAGATTATCATCAATTTCAATAAAATCTATCTTCATTTAACACTAATTCATAGTTAAGGAACTTATCAAACTAAAATTACCTTTTGTATAATATGGTTCATCCCCCCGTATTTTATGACAGGTTTCGCAATAACATAAGTTGCCTTCTGGACTGAAGTATCCCTCTGAAAATGTAAAACAAGAAAATCAGTCACGATTTAGATTACATTTTAATGCACAGAACAAAACATCATAATAGTATAATTTAAAATGAGAAATCATGAAATAAGCTAAGTATTTCCTTTCAAATATAAATATTTAAAGGTCTAGAGACAAGATGTTAAAGTAACTTCACTGAATATGCATCATCATGAAGCATTATGTATGACTATATCCTACATCAACATATGTTTTGGGAAGAGTTAACAAAAAATGAAATTATATGTAATATTATACACTCATTAAGCCATGGATTTCAAATTTAAATGCACTCTCCTTTCAACAGCTTTCTCCTCCCAAAAACTTACCTGGTAGAGCTAATGAGGCCTTGAAACGATAGCACATATTTTGGTATTCACAATTCTTTACCATACTGCTATCTGGCTGAGAACGAGAAATTGCCTAAAAAAAGGAAAAGAGAAAAGTTGAATTATTAATGGGTGAACTGACTTAGGAAACTCATTCTTTTTTTTTTTTTTTTTTTTAACAAATCACACAAGATGATATTTTTAGCTCAGTTTATGTTTCCTGGGTGGGAGAAGGGAGGAAACTTGTGCTTTAAACATACAATTCAAAAGGCTAATCATTTCAGAATCCACAATATAAACATAAAAAAGAAAAAAACACATATCTTTACCTTCTCCTTAAGTTTGGGAGGATGTGGCTGTGTGATATGCTCTGTCTGGAAATTTGAATCGCTTTGTCTAACAACTGCCGAGTCGTTATTGGAGATGTTGCTTGGGGAGTTGTCTTGAAGACTGACCAACCCTGGCAGAAGTGATGGCTGTTGTGACTGCGGCTGTTGTTGCTGTTGCTGTTGCTGCTGCTGTTGCTGTTGCTGCTGTTGCTGATGCTGCTGCTGTTGCTGATGCTGTTGCTGCTGCTGCAGGTTGTGGGTGGGTGATGGTGTGGTGGTGGTGGTGATGCTCGTGAGTCTTGAGTAGGTTTTTCTTATTCTGTTCATTGCCAATCTGTGCAGCTGATGTGATGGTGGTTGTCGTGTTAGACGTGGTGTTTGGGCTGGTGGTGGTGCTGTTCGCGAGGGTATTACTGCTGCTGTTGATTGTGTTTGTGGATGAAATACTGGTGGTAGTCGTGTTGGCAATTTCCATGCTCATGCTATTATTACACAAGGTAACCTGTAAAGAGGGAGTTTATAATTAATGCTTCAAAATGTGTAGAGTCCAGAGGAGAATTCTGGCAGAATGAACAAAACTTGTCTACTTTTCTATGGTTTCCAAAATTAAAAGTAAATCTGCTTCTTTTGTTTTCATATTGGCTGATTTACATATACACAGCTGTGCTAAAATGTGGTGGTAATTGGGAAACAGATTTATATTTCCCATAAATCCTATAAGGAAATCACTCTACAACATACACTCTTTATTACCAAAACTTTTTACACAAATAATTCACATGAGGATACACACATACATTACCCACATATGCTATATATTTATTTCCCCAACAGACAGCAGAGGTCCAAAATATTGTAACAAACAACAAGCAATAGAAACCTACCTCCTGGCACTGCCCATACAAGTCCAGAACGACATAAGGGTTTGGGGGTATTTCCTTCGCAGCAACCCCTTGGTCAACACCATTGACCAAGAGGTGCAGTCGTGCTTCGTCGTCCACCATGATACCCACCAAATGGCCACTGGGTCCTCCTGCTAAACTGTCTAAGTCTGGTCCATATCGACCTTTGATCTGATAGAAACAAAAGCAAAGGTCAAGCCATGAAAAAAAGACGAAGAGAGACAGAAAAAAATCATATCTGACAGAACAGCAATCTGGATCAAGGAAGGCACTGATATCATACATAAGATGATCTCATACACTTACTTTAACCCCATTGTAGAAGACTGAATCCCCACATATAACCCATGTGTTACGTTTCAGTGCAAAGGCTGTGTTTGGGAGGTGGATCTTCTCAGGGGCCTGTGCCGTCACCCCAATCATGAGGGAACTTGACCAACGGGAATTCAAGGACCCCAATCGAACCTGCAAGAGTTGATGATGTTTTGGAATTCCTTAGGTACTGATATACACACACACACACACACACACACACACACACACACATATATATAATATATATATTATATATATATATATATATATATATATATATATATAAATCTAGGAGTGTACTTTTAATATATTATAATCCAATGACCCTACAACCTTCTACAACATTATCTTTGTTTCTAAAGACAATACCAAGAGCCCCAATAACCCACCTGGAAGACTACATTCCTTGGTAGAGGTTTAACCGACATAACAATCCCTTGGTTATAGCTTTCTGATCGACGAGCTGTCATGCGATCGCTGGAGAGCTGGATATTTTTGCCCGTCTTCTCATGGAACAGAATGAGTGAAGAGTCTTTGTTATTTCCTAAGCTCGAGTGCTGCTGCCTGCCCTCTGTCGACAGCTCGAGCGCCCCGTGAGAATGGCTGCTGGTTCTTAGGTCTCCTCCTTGGTGATGCTGGCCATTCTGTCTGGATTCTTGTCCTCTTTGGTCATTTGTCATCTTCGTCTCGGATGTTACCCTGTGATCGTGAGGAATGTGGGCAGACGTTGCTGGGTGAAAGCCCGAAGTGAGCGAATGGTGGCCTAAGGGATGGCGAGAGTCTGGCTGAGATAGCTCGAGAGAATCTTGCGACACGGCATTGTTGTTTGTGGCCATAACTGTGGAGTCCATTACAGGTGAACTTGCTTGTCTTGAGACACTTGTTATGACCACAGATTCCGTGAAGCCAAAAAGGTCAACCACACCAAATACTCTCTGAAATGTTCAAATTTTTGTCCATATGTAAGTGTTTCATAAAACCTTCTATTATTCTGATATGTACTGTTAAAGATACAATATACAAATGAAAAGAGTACTCTTAAACCAATTCATAGTTTTTAGCTATATGCAAAGGAATACAATAATCAATAAAACTTAAAAAAAAAAAAAAAATCATAATAATAATAATAATAAATAAATAAATAAATAAAATAAAATAAATAAAAAGCCATCATACCTTAGTGACATTAGTAGCAGCAATTCCGAAATCTTCACCATTTATATACAGCCTCATTGCTCCATCGCTCGTCTTCTTAATGCCGATGCGATCCCCAACAAGCAACCTCCCAAGATTAGGGCAGAAATTCAACCTAAGGACAGAGGACCCATTCCTTCTCACGTCCGAACCACTGACCCACCACGTGTCAGCTGATTCTATTCCAGATAACGTGGCTGGGAGGCTGACGGCTGGGTAAGAGTCGGTCACTGGGAGAGAGGTCAGACCAATGCTCAAGGACCCACAGTAACCTTCTGAAACCAGCTCAATGCGTACCTGAAAAGACGAATCACAATACTTGGCTCTGAAGTGGGTAATATGCAAGCACATAAAAAGTATGACCACTTAAAGCAATAAAGATACTACTATTACTACATACATAAATAAGCTCAACATCTAATTTTTCCTTCCAAAATTTTAAGAAATTCCATCCAATTACAAACTTGAATGTTCTTCTTCCACCTTCTTATGACCTTAAACGATGAACCAAATACTCCTCCCACATGCACCACTCATACCTCAAATAGTTCCTCTGCTTCTAATGGATGAGACGTGAACAGCAAACCATGATTGAAGTGCCGCACGCGAGCTGCTGTTGTACCGTTGTTACTCAGGGCTATGTTAGCTCCACAGCATTTGGAAAAACGGTGCAGTACCTGACAGTTACATATAAAAAAAAGGAGAGAGAGAGAGGCAAAAGAAAAGCTATGAATAACCATGTTGAAGTTCAGACGGTCATAAAATATATCAGACACAAACAGGAGGGAAAATTATCTAAGTGTGGATATGATATTACAACAAATACAAAAAATGCTGATAAAAAACAACATATTGCAAGATCTTCAAAAGCATACCTAAGCTCACATCCCAGT